GTTTGGCTCTGTCCTTTGAGTACTGCCCATTTTTTTCTGAACCGCCTTCTCATCATAAGTGTTCCTCCTTTCTAGGCTCAGTTTTCTTACCAGGGCACTATCTCGTATGAATAGACCATTGAAGGGTCGTACCACAGATATTAAGTTAGTTAAATGATTCGTGATGTCAAATCTGTGTTGTCAATTTATATACATGCCCAGAACAACATTTGCGGGTCAAAATTTTTCTTTCGCACTAAAACTGCCGGTTGAGAATTGTGTGTTCAGTGTTCCTTTCACTTGTTCCCATGGTGACATTGTTGGGCATGAAATAAGTTAGAGGTTGTAGGCAATCAGAGGCCCATGTTCATAATTGAAAATACATATTTAGATTTATAGGACATACTTTTATCTTAGTTAACAGGCAGGCGAGCTGGTTAAGGATAGATGTGGTAACCCGGGAACGTGGGGAAAAAAGGGACAGACAGACACGAAGCTCCGGAGCTTCGTGTCTTTCCGTTCCTTTTTGTCCCCTGCTCCAAGGTCTATAATTTTCATAAACACTGAAATGCAAGGAACACACTGTTGCAAGCAAACTTTAAGTGCATAGTTGTGGAAAGTCACACTAGGTCTTTTCGATTTGCTTGAACTGGCTGATCTAGTTCAAATAGTGTAAGAACTGACTCGTTAGATTCAACCGGAAGTTGCATGAACGCTGAACTGGCCTGTTCGATTTATTCCAGTGCTGCACGAGCTCAGCCTCAGTTCCACAAAATCTTGCGCTGGCCGAAGTCAGTTCAGCGTTCATGCAGTAACAGATGGCAACTCTTCGGTCTTTCGGAAACCAATTGCAGGGTCGTTTATAACGCTGCAGCTTAAGTTTACGCAGCCGCAGCCCGACTTGCGCACTGCTTCTGCACTCCTCTGAACTCAGTCTGAACTGGTTCAAAACTTTCGGGCCGAATCATGCATGCCTGCTGTTGGGTCTACATCTTCAAAACTTTCGTGCCGAATCATGCATGCCTGCTCTTGGGATCTACATGGTAACACAAGATATTAACAAAGCATAAATTGTAGTGGAAATTGCTTGCTTATAATTGCAGGAAGTAAAATATTAAATTTTTCAGGAAACTGTAGATATACATGACTTGTTGTTGTATTCTTTTCCCCTGCAGATGCCTTCAACGAGTACCTAGGGAGGCATCCTCGAGAGGCCTCTCCAAGGAAGAGGACAGCTCGGGGGAATCTACTGCAGTATGCAAATTTGTTAATATCCTACTGCACCATATTAACTAGAAGTTCGTCTTCTAAGCTTGCTTAGAGGTTAAGCTTCTTGTTGGTGTTCTGCAGATGCCAATTTGCGTTCACTAAATACATATATAACCTGAAATGACCTGGCTCATGCTCATTCTTTGCATGACAAATGCATGCGAATTGTTAAACCTGCAAAGATACATCCATCTGTTTGCAAACGTTGGACACCATGTTGATTCCTATTACTGCATCAGAACGGATAAACCTTTAAAGATATAGGTTTCTGTATCTGAACAGATGAACATGCATAAATATTGGTTCCTATATCTAAATAAGTCAACCTGTAAGGTACGGGTTCCTATATCTAAACGGGTCAACCCGTACAGAAACGGTTTCCCTACCTAAACGGTTCAACCCGTACCGGTACGGGCCCCGTATCCGAACGGGTTCCTGTATCTGAATGGGTCAACCTGTACAGGTACGGGTTTTCAGTAGCATACAGGAGACCCGTACCCCATAACACCGTATGAGGTATACGGGTCAACCAGTATGAATTTTTATAAGGGTTTTTTCAGTAGGGCAGGGGCGACTATGGCGGAAAGGAGCCGCAATCTTCTTTTTCCTCTATGACGGAGGCGAATGTGCACGATCCAATCTTCTTCCTCTTTGATAGTTTTTTGAAGACACAGGGTGGAGCCCGTTCATATACACAGACGGCAGTGCGCCAAGAGACCTATTAATGTTTGTTGGCGTTGTCTGAATGTGCCAATATTCAAGCAAGAGCCTCCGGCGAGGATTAGTTTTGATGTTTAGGATGCGTGTGTTTATCTGCGTGTCTCTTTATTTGTTAACCAAAAAATTGCATTTCTTGAAGGATGTCTGTATTGAGCGATAAGAATTTTTTATCAGTTGTATGTGTTCAGGCGATTGGAATCGAGTTTGACGATGATTTGTATTTCAATAAATCAGTTGGAATTTCGCGCCTGTCCGTGTTGTACGTGTGTCTTTTTTCGTCCTGTTTGTTCGGGCCTTTTAACCTTTTAATATGTATCCACTCACGCTTTGTTCTCAATAAACCCCCAGCTGCGTTTGCCTTGACCGTTTTTGTCTTAATTTCTCATCTCGAGTTTCATCGTAGTGTACGCGCCACATGTTCGCAGCGTCCGAAAGCGGATGCGCCTAAAATTAAATGAAAGACCGCGAACTCCTAGCGACCCCAACACGCTGGCACTTCACGGCCAGCGATATTAAAGAGTGTTATAGCCTCGTCCCACTAGAGCGACAAACACCGTTTTTTGTCCGACGACACCACAAAGTTCCGTGTCGCCGATGCTGTCCCACTGCAACGACCGACTCCTGCGACAATCGCCGACAAGCGCCGACAAACTATCGACGACGGACGTGTTCTTGTCTGTCGTTGGACTTGAAGCACAGCAAGCAGTCCCACTGAGGAACATCTCTCCAAATACTTTACGAGGGGGAATACAGGATACTCCCCGCGAATACAATGGCATCGGGGACGACAGGTTTTGCGTGGATGAGTCATGGCGGTGCCGTTTTCTCCTTTAGAATCAGATGGTGACTAGCGCCGTCTCTCGGTGCGGGATATTTTGCTACCGGCCGAACCTTGTTAGTATGTGGACGCTGTTCGGTCGCGGCGACGTAGGTCGTCTCTTGAATTTGAAAAAAAAAATACAGCGAACGCTTCATTGGTGACTCACTTAGAGGGCGCATATACGTAGGATGAGCTCTATGTCTACGTTCTGTTAAATAAACTTCACGCATTGTAGCTCGATCAGCGGGTATCAAAATTTGTACGAGCGGTTTTGAGAGCTGGCATAACAAGTGTGCTTAGTCGTAACCACAATTCAAAGCAGTGCGGAGCAACTAATAATAAGGAACTATGTCGACACGAGAAGCACGTTTAGAGGGCACAGCTATGCGCTGTCATATACTTCACCGCTAAGTGTTTGCTACTATGATTATCGCTAAAGCGCCCGAGAAGGTACGTTGAGTAAACGACCCTATTTTCGCGAGCTCGGTATGTCGAAAATTTTTTAAAGTGCTGGGTTCGGGAATGTCTGGCTGGAACATAATTTTGAAATCAAAGTGTGGTTCTGTGTATTAGATATGAGAGGATTTAATGCAGTGGTCCATTTCTCGCTATTTAACTTGCGAATAGATGGTGCTTTGCGGCAGCCCAAGGCAACAGGAAAGATATTCAGAAAGATCGGAATAATTTTTCATTAGTTCATGAATAGTCAACATTATTCCTAATAGACCATGCTGGCCTTGAACAAAGTTGGTTCGGACTTCTCTAGTATTTTAGAATGATAATTGAAGGTGCGAACTCAGATTCCACTTACAAACGTCATTGGACAATTTTTTTTCGTTGGAACAATATTTATTGCACATTGAACAAATTTGTACAGCTTTGCATTCAGAAAACACCAGATCTCTTTTTACACACGCAATAACGGTTTGAACGAGTATATAAAGCTCAGCATTCAACACAGATCTCTTTTTGCACACGCAATAACGATTTGAACAAGTATATACAGCTTAGCATTCAAGAAAGATCCCTGTTGAACACAAAAACCTACTCGTGAAGTACCTTTATGGCCTTCTAGTTTCTTTTATTCACTTTTTGTCGAATACCTTCATTTTCTTTTTTTATGAAAGCATTAAACATGACATTGAGGAACTTGTCAATAAACACTTCCAAGCAAGACTCGCAGGCGTCGAAGTTTGGTGGTATAGACACTTTCTGCTTCAGCCTCAACTTAACTTTACCTGATGATTCAAGAAGGAAAGTATCCACGTGTCTGTGAAATGTGCTTGTTATAGTTTTCCCAAGCATTTTTGCGTTCTCCAAAGGGAAATACATTCGTGCATTTTCATACTTCTTCAAATCAATTAGTATGTCGTCACTCCCTACAGCAGTTTCTGATGTGAGTTTGGCACGACACTGTGAGGCAACTTAAAGCATGCCAAGCCGGTCACACATGGCGTTGCATTATTCTGCAGCATGTCATATCTAAAAGTCTCATTGCTCGGTTTGTCACGGCGTTGGCTTTGATCACTAATAACCTTCACAGTCCGCGACTAAATGTCTTGCTTTTTTTTACCAAGAATTTACCTATGTCGTGCTCGCTGTTTCCTCTGTCGGCTGGGTGCAGCGTATTATTCATCATTACAGCTCGAATGGATGAAAGGAATTTACAGGCATCTGGGTTGGAGTTGTTGCCCCCTTTAAAACGAAATACAGAGAAGAGATTTTCAATGCAATCATGTGTCAGCCTCCTTAAGAACAGGAATCGAAATTTATACGAGTCCCTAAGTTCTTCCCAAAGTAGACGAACACTGTGGATGTTGTCAATCCATCCAGCTAAGCAGGCAGGATTCTTAATATGAGAGTTAAGGATTCGTATTTTCCGGAAGAAGCTTTCCATTTGTTCCCAAAGTTTCCAGTGTAGCGACGCATCACTGAGCCCACGCTTGTAGGGCTTTGCGTCGTGCAGTTTTGATGAATTGAATGAGTCGAAGAGACAATCCAGCGTTTCTATTAACCAAGCAGTATGTGCAGCTGACGGCTCCATCGACCCCAAAGAAACATGAGTCAAGGTACCTCTGCTTACCGAATGACTTAACGTTTGGGCAGCCAAACACACACGCATGGGAGAGAATGGTGGAAGTTCCACATGAATGTTTCTTAGCTTCGGTGCCATTCTTAGCACCATTGATTTATATTTGTCATAAACCTCCCTGATGCGACCGCACTTGTAGATCTTATCCCCTTGCAAGAAATCAAACTTTCTCAAATTGTTCCAAGTCACCTTCAGAAGGTAAGGAGGATCATGCAAGAAAAAAGATTCTTTCTCCTTCCATCTCAAAAAATGGCTTTTCAGTCGTAACTCCCAAGAGCCTGCGCATCAAGATATTATTTTGTTCCCGGTCACAGACGAGAACCTTAGGGATAAAGCCGGTCTGTCGTATCCTTGTTAGGACATTTATAACAATGTCTTTTAAGACTGCCCCAGGCATGGCATTGTGCGTGAGGTAGTAACGAACCACCTGCTTGTGTCCCCTTTTCAGTCCCTTGATCATCACAGTAAGTGCTTGAGTCGTGTGCACAAGCTTGTCTGCACCCGCTACAAAACCTTTAAGCAAGTCGCTTCGTGCATCATAACTGATGTGCTCCTTCAAAGCAATTTCATCGATCACAACACAGACAAGCTTCTCTGCTACTGACAAGCTATCAGCCTTCATTTAAAGCATTTTTAGGACACTTTCATTGAGCCCAGGACGTACATCAAGGGCACTCAACCATCTACGCAGGGACCTCACAGCCGGTAAACAAAATATCTTGCACAAGAATAAGTAGGCCTTTGGCGAACAATAATGTAACGCCAAAGCAAAGTTATTGTCGTACTCGGTGTACCGAAAGCCCTTCAATTTTTTCTGGAGCTGTTTTGACTGACTCAGAAGAAAATCCTGTGAAACGCTGACATGAACAAGTTTTTGTAACAATTTGTTTCGTGAGGATGCCTGTCTTAGGGAGTTTGTTTCAGCTCTTAACCGGCTTATGAGCTTTCGCTGTGCATAGGCCACCTTTTGAGAGTTCCGAACATTGGCTTTCAGTTGGGCGATCTGCTGCTGGCAGTATGCTTGAGTCCGCTTAGGTTGTCTGGCATCTTGGAGTTTGATGTGAAAACTGTCACGAAGGCGTGAAAGGCCTGCCCCATCAACCATGCTGTCAGCCAGTGGTGGCATATAGTCATCGGACTGCCCAGCAACCGTCCCAGCATGTCCCGTAGACAGGAGCGCTGGCCAGTGCACATGAGATTTCATCAAGAAAAAGAAGCGAAAAAACAGTCTTCAGTCAAATCTGGTTGATGCGAACGAACATTCTGCAAACGTTATACTTACACACTGACCCTTTTTCCGCCAGAGGCAGTCCTCCAGCTGGGCTTTCCACTGTCACCGGCTTTCACCAGCAGCGGCACATTCTTGACAGAGTGTCTAGCAACTGCCTGAGAATTCATAGTCCACTGGGGTGCTGTAGGCAGAAGGTGACACGCGTAAGATTTTACGAACAAAGAAATGTGAAAAGATAAAGTACTCGGTCAACTCTGGTTGATTCGAAAGGCTATACTGGAAATGTTATACTCACACATGCGGCCCTTGTCATCCACTATCAGTGCACTAGCTCGCTGGCCACGCTGGTGTTCGCCAGTGGCGGCACATTCTTGTCCAACAGCCCAGCAGAGCAGGTAGACAGGCGCGCTGTAAGAGAGGCCAGCCCACATGAGATTTTATCAACAAAAAGACGCGAGGAAATAAAGTACTCGGTAAACTCTGGTTGATTCGGAAGGCTATCCTGGAAATGTTATACTCACACATGCGGCCCTTGTCATTCACTGGCAGTGCACTAGCTGGGCTGGCCACACTGGTGTTCGCCAGTGGCGGCACATTCTTTTCAAACTGCCCAGTACAGCAGGTAGACAGGCGCGCTTTAAGAGAGGCCAGACCACGTCAGATTTTATCAACAAAGAGACGCGAGGAAATAAAGTACTCGGTCAACTCGAGTTGATTCGAAAGGCTATCCTCGAAATGTTATACTCACATATGCGGCCCTTGTCATCCTCTGGCAGTGCACTAGCTGGGCTGGCCACGCTGGTGTTCGCCAGTGGCGGCACATTCTCGTCCAACTCCCCAGCAGAGCACGTCGACAGGCGCGCTGTAAGAGAGGCCAGCCCACATCAGATTTTATCAACAGAGAGATGCCAGAAAATAAAGTACTCAGTCAACTCTAGTTGATTCGAAAGGCTATCCTCGAAATGTTATACTCACACATGCGGCCCTTTTCATCCTCTGGCAGTGCACTAGCTGGGCTGGCCACGCTGGTGTTCGCCAGTGGCGGCAAATTCTCGTCCAACTCCCCAGCACAGCACGTAAACAGGCGCGCTGTAAGAGCGGCAAGCCCACATCAGATTTTACCAACAAAGAGATGCCAGGAAATAAAGTACTCGGTCAACTCTAGTTGATTCGAAAGGCTCTCCTCGAAATGTTATACTCACACATGCGGCCCTTGTCACCCTCTGGCAGTGCACTAGCTGGGCTGGCCACGCTGGTGTTCGCCAGTGGCGGCACATTCTCGTACAACTGCCCAGTACAGCAGGTAGACAGGCGCGTTGTAAGAGAGGCCAGCCCACGAGATTTTATCAACAAAGAGATGCGAAGAAATAAAGTACTCGGACAACTCTGGTTGACTCGAAAGGCAATCCTCGAAATGTTATACTCACACATGCAGTCCTTGTCATCCACTGGCAGTGAACAAGCTGGTCTTGCCATGCCGCTGCTGGCTTTTGCCAGCAGTGGCACATTCTTGGCAGACTGCCTGCCAAACGCCAGAGCATTAATGGTCGACAAGGGTGCTGCAAGTAAAGGGCAACTTGCATGAGATTTAATCCACAGACAGTTAGGAAGGACAGTCGGCTTCGTTTAGAACTCCTGGCACTTCCGGGACACCTGGCTTCGTTCACACAATGATGTGCGGTTTTAGCACCCAGGTTGTGTTATGGCACACTTTTGTTCTTAGCCTGCGTGAGTGAATGCAGTTAGTTTCCACGCATGCACACAATAAGTGTGAGCTGTATTGTGGGGAATATGCAACGTCAACAAAGAAAGATAATATTTATTTCTTGCACTGAACAAGAGTCCCAACACATATCAACTGTACCAAGAGATGTAGTGGCAATACAGGTATTATACCCGTGCCACACGGGCAACTCGAATGCCATACACAACGAATGACATTTGAACGATCAGTCCATCAGCGCGCGACACTCCGAGCGTGGGTCGTTCCACGCGCGGCAGATCGCGAGCCGAATCGTCGATCACACTAATGTCATTCGTTGTAAATGGCATTCGAGTGACCCGTGTGGCACGGGCATTACTTTGCCTGTGCAATGATGCAATCATTGTGAAGTACGTCTGTGGCTATTAAGATCGCGGATGTCCATACCGAACATACCAATGATCAGAAAATCGCACCAAGAACGACCCGTACGAGTCGGAGTCTGCAATATGCGAAACTAGGTCACTAAGTCAAAAGTTCCGAGCCCCACAAACACCTAGCACCTGTAGTGCGCGTAGCCCGTTTACTATGATTAAATCGGAGCGTGACTACGACTCTCCACCTATGAAACCCCACCCGGAATACCGTCTTACGACGAAGGCCTTTTAAAACTTCTATTACCTTTATACGCGATTTGACAATCATATCAACCATAGGGTCGTATGTGCTCTTACATAGCAATTGCGCACTTACCTTTGACTCCTCATATTCGGGTTTTAGAGCGCAGCTCTTAGGGGCCCGTTCCCGGCTTGAGCGGCGTCGGCGTCGCCGTCGGCGTCGGCGTAACCAAGGTCACCCTAAGGTCACGCGACCCCCCAAGGTCACGTGACCCCCAAGGTCACCCGACTCGCAGAGGTCACATGATCCCTCCCCAGGGTCATGTGACTTCCAAGGTCACGTGACAATCAAAGTCACGTGACCCCCGAGGTCACGTGACCCCCCCGGGGTCACGTGACCACCTTCAGGGTCACGTGACCCCTCGCCGAGGTGACGTGACCTCCCCGATGACTTCATCGTCACTGATGACGTCACCGGCATCCCCATCGTCATCATCACTGATGACGTCATCAGTGACGTCACTGATGACCTCACCGGCATCCGCATCGTCATCTTCACCATCACTGATGGCGTCATCAGTGACGTCACTGATGACGTCACCGGCATCCGCATCGTCATCGTCATCATCACGGAGGACGTCATCAGTGACGTCACTGATGACATCATCGGCATCGTCACGTGACCCCCCCCAGGTCACTTCACCCCCCCAGTACCCTTCCCTCCTCCTCCTCAAGAGCTGCGCTCTAATTCGGTGTTACAGGGAGTTGTAAACGGCTTTCACTTTTTTTAAAATCGCTGTCATGAAAGTGGTCGGAGCACACCCGATATGTGCTGTTTAGGTACTCCGCTACACGACTTTGAACACTGTGATCGATGTCCGACCTGTTGCATCGAACGACCCATTCCCGACATCTGAAACGATAACATAGTGTCAAATTATCTCTGACGATAAAAGGTCAGCATGAGAAACGAGACACCAAAGTGGTTTACTTACGTGATCTGATCGCGAGGGAACCGAAAGAATGAAAGGTTTTTGCCCGGCAAGGTCCGGTTCTTGCAGTGGAGGACGGCGCACACTGCCCCTCCTGTCATCTTCTTTGATTGCTTACAGCGGCGAACGCGTCATACTTCGTGCACTAATGCGGAGAAACACGCCGATGCGGCGCCACGTAGCGCAATGGTGACCACTGACACTCGTCGCGTTCGTCGCTCGTCGCGCCCGCAAGCCCGGCGCCCGCGTGACCGCCCGCCCGCGTTTGCCATCGTCGGTGACGCATATCGGTCACGTGCTCTGGCGAGAGTGGAAAATGGGAGAGGGGGGACAGGAAATCGGGAGAGGGGCACATTCAAATTATCCCGTGCCACCAAGGGAGGAATCGGCGCGGCCATGAGTCCGTCTAATGCAATAGAGCGGAGTGTCCTGTATTCCCCCTTGTAAAGTATTTGACCTCTCGGAGACAAACTTATCCTCCTCGCCCGTTTATGCCTTCTGTTGCCTCCCTTCCCACCCTTCTACACTTCCTGCCGGAACGAGAAGCTTTTGGCGGCCACTCCTCGTTCCCGGCTCCGCAGTTCCGGTCTCTCAATAGACTTCTTCCAAAACCGATGCGCCCCATCGCGGCGAAATATCACGCAGTGCACTCTGGGAACTAGTTGGCCACTCAGTTTCGATTTGGAGTGAGCAGGTTCATCTCATGCTGTCACGCCGCGACCGAACGCGCTGATTGCGTTTTCGATTATTTGACTTTTTACGAATGTACAATACACTCATTCTCAAGCGATACAAAACGAAGACCGGGGCACTTTCCTTGGTTCCCGAAACACCGGATATTCTGCGTGCGTATGCAAACGTAGTAAGAAGTCCCCTCAAACCACGAATGCATATTTGAGCTCAATGTCAGTAATCCCGTCTAGTACTAGTGAACAACAACTGAAATTTTGTCACCTTGGCCAAATTTTGTTTGCCAAACGTCCGCTTCTTGTTACTTCATTGGGCGAAAAGCAAGCCGCATCTTCACAGGATCATCAAAGTTGAGCCCAGCGTTGGCGCGTGAACTTTTAAGGAAACGCAATAAAATTCGACCTCACTACTGCACAAAAGTTACTATGATGTCCTCCTCGTGTCATCACATATCTCACACTTAAATTTTATGCTGGTAGAAGAATACGTTTTCGCAAACACTGAGATCGGCTTGCTACGTCGGAGGCCCTAATAAGCGTCCCCTACTCCTCGGTAAGCCTTTTTGGACGAGCTTTCCCTGTCGCCCAAGATCTGTGTCTTGGTGTGTCTGAAATTATCTCGGCATACTCAGTCAGGAAGAAAGCAAACACAAAACAAATATGATAACCAGTAGCAAGTCAAATGCGCTTTGAATAATTTCGTTCGTTTGGCGCACCACAGAAGGGTTCATGCCCGTCCGGCGCACTTCCGGCGGACGATGCGACATTCTACACACAAGCGCTCGACTTTTTATTTCTTAAAACGATTTTTATGTGCGAATGTGTATATATGTTTGCAGGATAACTTATGCGCATACGCGATGTTCAATATTAGTGGAATGCCCAAGCGGGTGGAAACTTCACTTCGTGCAGTGCTGCGGGGCAGTACATATAAGAGATCAGAAGTGAGTTCAAATAGAGCTTTTCAATGGCGCCTCCGAGTTTTACCTCGCGTACTCAGGCGTATTAAGAAAAACAGTAAACGCAAAAAGTTATATTTCGTCTATGGACGCACGAAGCAAACTTCCTGATCAACAATACTAACTTGCTCGAGCTAGATGTATGCATACTTATTGGTTGCTACAGCTTGCTGATTCGCACACAAGCAAGATCCGCGAGCTTCGCAGCGCCGAAATTCCCAGCACTGGCTCGTCCACATACCTCGAAACACTAACAGAGAGGCTCAAGTACAAAAACACAACAAGCATGCATTAAGGTGCAACCCCACCCCTGGGTAGTGTGATTCTGAACCAACAGATGGCGGTGGGATCGCCTTCCAGGCCTGTACATCAATGCGAGAAATTGTGTGTGGTTGCGCTTCGATACAGTGGGGTATTCTTCTATATCCAGAATTTGACATCCCTGGTCTCTTGCTTGGTTTTCTCTGCACGAGCTTCCTTTGGAACGCGCACGGCTGCGCCCGTTCTCGTGCAAGGGGGCCAGTTGCCACGCTCCGAGCTCACGTCTCCAGCAAATGTAGGCAGAACAAAACGAGAAAATCGTCCTGAGCCAAATGGCGAGATACATGCACAACAAAACTACCGACGCGTTGAAAAATATAAAATTGCCTGCGCGCCGTTATCGGAGATTTCAGAGGCCAATGACACATATTACAATGTGATCAGATTTATACTGATACGAAGGTGACGAGAGGACGAACAGTGAACTGAAAAATAAAGGTTTAATTGGCGAACTTGTTCCAAACAAAAAAAGAGTAAACAAAGAGCGTCGAGGCAGCAGAAAAGCAGGCGGCGATTCGGCAGCGTAACAAAGAGCGAGAGCGAGACTGACTCGACAAGGTCGCTGGCAGCTGCTTATCTAGAGTGCGTCACATCACCATCTCGAAAGTTCGGCAAAGAAGGTTCGAGCGTCGCGCGTTCGGGGCGAGGATGAACTGGCACTTTCGAGGACAAGAAAACAGGGCGAAAGTTCAGTCCCATGCAAGAATGAACGCGAATCTTCCAGAAGTCCGTGACCGAGCGTTGCTTTCTCGGCTCTGCGGGCGGCAATATGACGGGCCGGCCCTTTTATCGTGCACGTGTTTGGATCTTTGTGGATTTCCAGCAAAACGTGATGACGTCATAGTTTGATTATCAAAATTCTAGCTTGAGGAATTAACTATCTAAAAGAAAAGACTATATTTGGGCGGTCAGGTGTCTCATTTAGGTAGCTGGGTGTCCATTTTGACCCAAACCGCGAGACTGAAAAACACAAAAAAAATGACACTCAGGTTCAGATGTTGAGTTTGGTAAGTCCAAAGTAGGACTGGTGCCATAATAAAAAAATGTCCAGGTTAAAAATATACTCACAGCAATAAAGAATAATTATTAATTTTAATACGAATTCGGTGATAAATGCAATGACTGACCAGGCAAAGATTCTGGGTCTGTTGATAGCTTTTGCACATAGTTTAAGCAAGTTGCAGGGTGTCACAAGAAAAAAATACAGGGTTTCTTTTTACCGCAAGAATAAACTAGGCATCGCCGAACGCTCATTCTCCGCCCATAGGTTAGCGCTAGAGGTACAACCAGATGTCAAAGTTTCAGCCCAATACGATACCTTATTCAAAAATTATAGGTGATTTTCTGAAAAGTTCAATGGGAAAATAGCGGCCGACGGAGTTTTCGTATACATGGGGCTCTATGGCACCAGAAACGAAAAACAGGCCCAAAAATGGGCTCCATTTTCCCCATTGTAATTTTCAGAAAATCACTTATAACTATTGAATAAGGTGTCCATTCGGGATGAAACTTTGGCATCTGGTTGTGACCTAGTGCTACCTTTGGGCGGAGAATGAGCGTTAGGTAATGCGTAGCTTATTTTTGCGGTAAAAAAAAAAACTGTAAATTGTTTTTGTGACATCCTGCCAGTCTTAATTTGGTGATTCATGCGCGCAAGTAGTGCTGTGCAAAAATGAAAACTATGCAAACGGGTAGGCTTTGACGTTGTATAAAATATAGTGTAAGCACGCACATGGTACGCTGATTAAGAATGAAACAGCTTTACGTTTTACACTAACGTGTGCATCAAAAGCTAAAGCTTGTACACATATACTGCTGAGGCCATTGTGTTTTAATGCTCATAATAATTTATTACCCTCAGATTTGCTGTAAGTTGTCTCTTGATTGCTTACAACAGAAAAAAGAAAACACGCTAACTCTGGGTTGGTAGAAAAACTCCACCGGCTGACGGCCACCAATCATCTCGGCGCCGATTATGAGTATTCACTGCATGCCAACGGTCGCGTGCTTAGAACGAGTTTTTCCCACGTGATTTCATACGATCGCAATTGTTCTTGACAAACAACAATGTTTAGTCAGGCAAGCGGTCATATGTGAAGCTTAAAATATTTTCTATTGGTTGTGACACACGTGGGAAGTTGCACAGGTTTTTTTTTTCTTCTTTTTTTTTAGAATCCGCGAAAAAGAATG